TGCACATTCACCTGGCAGATTCCCTTTGCACTGTTCCTGTTTCAGTTTTCAAACATTTACTTCCATAAAAATACAGAGCTGACATGAAAAACAAAGCTTTCCTGGAAGAATCCATGTGTTGAGGAATGTATTTGTTTGGTAACATCAACAGCTGCTCACCCTGCACAGATGAAGCTTTGGTATCCCTACAGACCTGGAAAATGACACATTGCAGTCCTGTGGGGCACAAAGCTTTAAAAAAGAATAATTCAATTTATCTGAGGTAATGAAGTCCTTGGGAATGTTTTGGTTTAGAAGCCTGTGTTTAAAAAGGAGAATGAAGACCCTTATCCCAAATTCTCAACACCTAACTTTCAAGATCAATATTCAAATCTATATATGAATATCTAACTCCTAGTCAGAGTTCCCCAACAGCATCACATAATAAACAGTCAATAAGTGTTACAAACATTTATTAAGCACAAACATCTGTGCCTGTTTAAAATAAGTAATTTAAAGACTAAAGTCAAATAATGCAGAGTTTTCCTGAATGGTGCTCCATGTCCTCATGGAATTTCCACATGGAAATCTTCTGTAAGGTCAGACCTGTTTACAACTCTGGTGGTGAAAATGGTCCCATTCACTATTTACCTATCACGCCATCCTACTAATTACACCTTGGCTGAAGTATGCTTATTCCTAACAATAGTAAGAATATAAATAAAATCACTTAATTATAAGGTATATTCTTTAAGAATAACTTAGGGCTCAAGACTTTCTTTTTTTTCCCCCCACAGACATTGAAGTCACTTTGGTTGTGTGGCATATAAACATTGCTGCTGGTCATTTCTTTGAGAAAGCTTCCTCCAGGAGCCATTCCAAGGCTTGTCCTGCTGCTGCCTGAGTTGGCTGATCACTCACCCAGAGATTTCTGAAGGATGGCAAACTGCTCCTCTTCCTTTGCCCGTTCCTGTTCCTCCACATTTTCCTTTGGAGGAAGGATACCTTTCTTGCGCAGAATGTCATTCCACTCCGTGTCTTTATTTGGATCCTAGAACAGAACAACAAATGGATGGTATTTCCTCAAGGTGAATTTTACCACTTCCAGAAATTAACACAGTTGCTAAACTGGTAACTGGATGGACGGTGCCAGAAAGCCACAGTGCAAATCCTCCTGACACTGAGGCTTCTTTCCAGCCCCTGACCTGCAGCACCCTGAAGCCTGACTTTGTTTTATTCCATCCCACTCACAGCACATACAGGAGGTCTTGGCTGAGTACCATAGTTTGAAGCAAATTCTGCAAAACAAGGCAAATACATCCCTGCATATAGTTGAAAAGCTGAGTATGAGATTTTCCTATTTAGCAGGCAATTTTATTTTTTAAAATACAAGAAATCTCAGTGATAAGCACCCATAGGTGGATTGTGCTTCCTGGCTGTCTTGGCCTAGGTCCAGTTTAGAAACTGAATACAGAAACTGCTTTGGTATAGCTTGTGTCAGTACACCTTACACCAGGTCTATTCACAGCCATATGACCATCTCTCTTCTCCCACTAAGCTCTACTTACTTATGGACTACCGGGGACAGGAAGGGAGGGGTAGGGGGCTGAAAGGGACAAGAAACATAAGACAGTAAAGAAAAAGAACAACGTAGCTCATCAAACACAACACCAGACTTCCCCCCCCCGCCCCGTCTCTGACCGCAGTCACCTTTCCCTCGACCCCGCGTTTACTATCATTTACTATCACACTGATGCAGCGCCCGAAACGCCGACCCCCTCACTACAGTGAAATAAGTACCGGAGCTGCAAAAAAAGCAAGAAACTGCCACAAACCCAGCCATGGAGCTACCGAACAACACCGCCACGTAAAAGCTACCTCACGTTCGTACCCCGAGGGAGCGGCACGAACCCGGGCCGCCCCCACCCCGGCTGCCCGGGGCCCCCGGCCGGGGAGGACGGCCCGTGGCTGCCCCCGGCGGGGCGGGCCCGGAGCCGCCGCCGCTTCCCGCAGCGCCTAATAAGGACGGGCCCGGCTCCACGGCGGGAGGCCCCGGGCCGTGAGGAGGGGTCGCAGAGCGGTTTGGGTTGAAAGGCACCCTGAAGATCGAAACTCCCCTGCCGTGGGCAGGGACACCTTCCAGTAAACCAGGCTGCTCCAAGCCCCTTCCAACCTGACAGAGAACAACCATGCTTGAGCAGGGAGGTTGGGCAGGTGACTCACCGTGGTCCCTCCCAGTCTTTTTCTGTGATTCCCTGTAACTTTTGTTTCCACTTCACTGAGCCTTTTTTATCTGTTTATTTTTCATACCCTGCGTTATTTCCCTACTAGTTTATCTTCTTATTTTCTTTCCCTGATCTGTTAAAAAATAAAATAAATAAATAAAGAAAATAAGCAATCAAGCCTATATTATCTATTCTTATTAGCCATAATCAGCTGTACTTGCATGAAATACAAAGCTGTGTTTCTTGTCAGGTACGTACAGGCAACCTGTGTATCTGTGATTGTGATATGTATGGAAACTGACCATGGGACAGTTATAAAGACAATTCTAATAAATAACTGAGGAAGTAAAGCATGGAAGAAGGCCTTTGAACCTATCCTTTGTTTGCAATTAACCTTTATAAGTCTTAAGTTGATTTAGGAGCATTCGAATTAAAGCTTTAAGGATGTTGCTGTTTGACAGGAACTTTCTGCTTCTAGCTAAAAAAAGTTTTGAACAATAACCTTTTGAAGTATAATTTTAGAATATTGCTTGTAGTAAGGATCTTTGAAACTATAGCTTTAGAATATATAAAAAGGAAACATGCTTATCTCGACCCCTTAACAAAATATTGAAAAACAGCTTGAGAAAGGAAGATGAACATCAACTCAAGGACTGATAGTTTTGACCAAGGGAAGCTGAACATCACTGGTATGAGATTTATAGTACTTGCAATTAAAAGGTAAACCCGCATCTGGAATCTAGACCTCGCCACCTGGGAGACTTCTTTCTTCTTTTGGAAGCTGGACCTCACCATCTGGGGTTACTCCTTTCTGAGATACATCCTGAGAAAAACGAAATCACAATAGTGTATGGAATTGTGACGTGAAAATTTGGAATACAAACTGCTGAGAAAGCTTATGAGTACCCCTATAAATATCTGTAAGCCCCAACTATTGGCATGCAGTTGGAGGGAAAATTTCCCCCACTGTACCCAGCGCTGTATTGCTCATACTTTACCATATTAATTAATTAATAAATTGATTGCTGCTTGAATATTGGCCTAGTCAAGCTTCTCACTTATAACACTTGTAATATTGTTATGACTGGATCACAGCCAACTGATATTACCAAACATTTGTCTCTGATAGTTACTTTTGTTTCAGTTTTGAGTCTGTGTTAAAGTATCACTTAGAAAACACTGAAAAGTGTGTCAGATGTGGTGACCCAAATCCATTTGGCATCATAGCCCATTCCATACAAACAGGCACCTAGGCCTGCCCTCTCAAAGAACTGAGCAGACTTTTCAGCTTGTTTTTCAGAGACACGTGGCAGAGGGAAGAGACCTGCTCCTGCCTCCCTTCCCCTCCTTTTATTCTCTGTTCTCTAATGGACAGATCTCAGACTCACCCAGATCTCAGTCCCCATAAAAGAACCCTAAAGAACCTGCCAGCAGGCCTTAAGAGTGTATTTGAACATGTGGAGGAAGGACTGTCTCAGCTCTGGCAAGGGCCTGAAATGAAAATTTAGAAGCCCCACTGCCACATGTTGTAAGGTCGTGGGCATCCCATTAACAGCCAGTTATTCTGAAGTGGGCTCACCCTTTTCCCTGTGCTAAGTCTGGGTTACTGAAGGGAAGGCACAGCCGCCTCTTCTGGCTCTGAATTAGGAGAAAAGGACAGCTGTGCTTTGAGAGGACATCAGTCCTCGTGGTGAGTGTTTGGACATGCAGAGGGCACCCCATACTGGTTGTTCAATGCCCTGAGGTGGCAGGAAACTCAACCTCACTCAGCTTAGACTAAATGCTCATCCTTGTAGGAAAAGTGGGTGAGAGCCACCCACCAGTGCAGGTGCTGTGAGGCTCTGACCCTCAGCTCTCTGGCAGGCAGAGCCAAAGGCTGAACTGTTCATGACAGTTTTGTTGTCTGAGTATTTTTGCCAGAGCCTGGGCTTCTGGGAGTACCCTCTGGTTTAAACAGTCATCTTCTGTGGCTGAAATACCATTCACAGACAGAGCCTGGGCTTCTGGGAGTACCCTCTGGTTTAACAGTTATCTTGTGTGGCTGAAACACCATTCACAGCCACAGCTCTTGTATGTTCCTGGTTGGAAACTACTTTGAGTGTCAGAAAATAAACACACAAAGAGCATGAGCAAGAAGTTAGCACTCATTTCTTTAAAGGCTGCTCAAAAATATTCCTTTGCCTCAGGTGGGATTTTTGCCCAAGTGAACAAAGAGGAACTAACCAAGCACTCTCAGCACCAGAACCACAGTAAACCCTAAGCCCCTTCTTGGACAGAGTTACCAGAAGAGGGGGCAGAAGCCTAAATTTTAGGAGCACCCCCATCACACCACTTGCTGAGACTCAGACACATTGTAAACCAAGCATGATTCTACCCAGGACACATCTAAAGCAAAAGTTTCCCCCTCCCACCCAACTAAAAATATATTTACAAAGCCCCTTTTCCCTATGTACTTTTTTTATCAAGCTCCAGCAGGAAGAAGAGGATTGCTTTTAGACATAGCATGCAGGCAGAAATACTCCAGCCAGTGGGTGGGAAGTGGCAGTGCCATAGTGAAGCTGAAATGTAGCTCTGGCTCAGCCCTTGCAGACAGCCTGCCTTCTTCCCCCTCACCCCAGCCAATTTGCTGCTGAGCAGCTGTAATGCATTACTTTATTTTGCCCCAAATCAGGGATTAGGTGAAGGAAGATGAAGCACATGTGCAAATGACTCATTAATTACCCAGGTGACCCGCTGATGAGGAGAAAAAGTTGCTAATAAAAGGTCTGGGCCCGGGGTAAAGGTGTTACCTGGCTTGTTTGTGTTTGGGTGCAGGTTGTAGCAAGGCGCAGAGTGGGGAAAAAATAAGACTTTTTGAAGGTAATGTGATGTACTTTTCATTTATAATGTATTGTGGAAGATTTGGGGTTGTGGGCTTCATGTTATTTTGTAAGTTAGCTGCCTCTATTATACAGTATGACTGTACTGTGGATTATTTAGAAAGAGTGTTGTTTGGTAATAGGGATATGGATATAGGGCTTAGTTTGCTTGGACTTTATTAGGGACTGAGTTGTTTTTTGTTTGGTTGGTTTTTTTTTTTACTTTTTTCACCTTCTTTTCAGATCTTATTCTAAATTTTCTTAAGCTTGGACTTTATTAGGGACTGAGTTGTTTTTTGTTTAGTTGTTTTTTTTTTTTACTTTTTTTCATCTTCTTTTCAGATCTTATTCTAATTTTTCTTAAATAGTTAAACTTTTCTGTAAAAACCCTGCATATTAATATGTGATGGGTGTTCTTGCAAACAGCTGTGCTGGAAGTTAATTGTCCTCTACTTACAGACTAGAAATATTATTTAAATGAGTAGTTCTGCTACTCCAGTTGTAAGAGTGTTCTAGCTGGGGTAATTTTCTTTATCATGAGGAAGTAGATGGTAGCTTCTTTAGTCTGCATTGTGCTGTCTAAATCAATTCATTCTCCTCCTGGTACTGAAGAGCTCCAGTAGTCTCATAGAAGCCAGAGAATACCACTTAAGGAATTAATTTAAAGCTGTGTATGAAAGTCCTGGAGTATTTTGGGTATAACAAACTGTAGGCTGCAAGAATTTTTCCATTTTTAGATTTGAAATGGAGGGAAGTTGTAACTTGATAGTAGAAGCTTTTTTTTCAAGAGCAGCTTGCTCTTGAAAGAAGAGACAGGCCTCAAGTTAGCTTTGAGGTAACAGTTGTGGTGTTTAAAAAAAATCTTGCTAAGGAAAACCCACTGTGCCTCAATCCTAAATACAATCCAAGTAGCAGGGGAAAGCCTGTCTTCTTTTGAGCCCTTCATAGCTAACTTCAATAACCCTTGACAGGTTTTGCAATGCAATCCTTCTCCTAAAAGGCAGGCTGTAAAGGGGTAATAACTGTTAAAATTTTAGCTCTGCTGTTGATGAACTGTGGTGTGTGGTGAGCTCTTTCCTCAGGACAAGCACAAGCTTTCTCCTTGACGTGGAAGAGCAGAACTGACCTTGCTGTTGCCTCCTCTTGCTGTCCATTAGCTGTAGCCCAAGCACCCAAGTGTTTTGAAGACCTCCAGCCCTCTGTGTCTCCTCGCCTGTCGGAATGTCTGGACGTGGAAAGAAACACGCAGTGGCTGGCAGCCCTAGAAGTGCCTTGAAGAAAAGCAAATCAGCCAGGGCAGGTCTGCAGTTCCCTGTGGGCCGTGTCCATAGGCTCCTGCAGAGAGGGAAGTACGCTGACAGGATTGGCTCTGGCGCTGCCGTCTACCTGGCTGCAGTGATGGAGTACGTGACAGCAGAGGTCCTGGAGCTGGCAGGCAACACTGCCCGTGACAACAGGAAGACAAGGATCCTGCCCAGGCACATTCAGCTGGCTGTGAGAAATGATGAGGAGCTGAACAAGCTCTTTGCCTGTGTGACCATTCCTCAAGGTGGAGTTATGCCAAATATCCTTTCTCAGCTCCTTCCGAAGAAAACTAGTGGAAGTGTTGCTGCTTCTCAAGACTATGGTGGTAGCCAGTGAGACTTGCTTTTCCTGGTCTGATCTGTGCAGCTATGGATGCTGGGGCTCAGTGCCACTAATTTGTATGTGTTTACTTCTTTGTCAAGTATTTTGCCTGCCAATTTTAAGGCATTTTTAAAATGTGTAATAAAGTTTCTGGAATGCAACACTGGTCCCCTTTTCTCCTTTCTCATGAATGGAAGAACAGAAAATGAAATTTTAAACAATTGCCTAGCACAGCACCTGAGTAACTTTTTTTAAAAAGTCCAGTACATGCTTACTTTTGAAAAGATGTTGCAGGTAAGTGTGGTGAAGCAGGGAGAAGAGTCAAGACACATGCTGTTGTTCCTGTCAACTTCCATCTAGCACAGATTCATCATGCAATTAGTTCAGTGTCTCGGAGGAGAACTCTGCTTTAGTGGTTAGTAACCCTGTGTCTTCAAAGCCTTATTGCTTGTAAAACTGTAGTGAGCATTTGCTCTTCAGTGTCTCGGAGGAGAACTCTGCTTTAGTGGTTAGTAACCCTGTGTCTTTAAAGCTTTATTGCTTGTAAAACTGTAGTGAGCATTACATCATTACAATAAGTCTCTATCAGGGCAAAGCATGCAGAAAGTGGTGGAGCCATGTATTCTCTCAACACAGATGACAAATTCAGTGTTTTTCCATTGTACAAAATTATCAAGAACTTGAGAAGGGGTCTACTCCCCCTTCTCCCCTCCAAAGTCTGTTGGTTTTCTTCTATGGATTGATAATTTTTTTTAAGTATTTGGGTTTGCATCTTTAAAAAAATAAAATGACCCTTCTATATTCAGGGGCATTTAATTTACTTTGACTGTAATTAACAAGCAAGGGGTCCTCTCAAAGGAAGCTTGCTCTGGTATCTGCTTTATAGCATATTTTTCCTCACAGCATATTCACTGCCTTTTTCCTCTGTATCAGGATGCTCTGTGCTGGGGTGGCAGGCAGAGAAAAGGGTCAAGCAGAAGTTGTTGTTGAGATTGAGACAAATAGTTCTCAAGTGCTGAAAAACTGTGAGATGTGAGAATGGAGATGAAAATGCTGTAAAAATAGAATAAGAGACAGATAAATGAAGGAAAGAGCAGCATAAATGTCAGCAGGAAGCGAATGTAAATTTTGTGTGAGGTAGCATTCCACAATAGAATAAAGCAAAGAGTAATTTCCTTTTCGGCAGGAAGAACTGGGTGATACTCTTTCTGGCTGTTCTGGCTCTGCGTTTACACCTGCTGTCCTGTTACTTACACGACAGCACTACTGATATTTTCTAGACATATTCCTTCTTCCACAACACTTGTTAAAAGTTAATGCAGATCATTAAGCTTTGAACCAGCCCTGGCAGGGGACACCAACAGATCAAATGTTCTTCTGCTGAAGAAGAGATAAACACAGTTATGGCTCTTCACTGCTGCCTTACAACCCATCAACAGTGAAATTATAGATCCTCAGAAACCTGGGGCTAGAACAAGGAGAAAAACCAAACCCACAATAACACAACTTTTTTCTTAGAGGTGTTGCCATTCTGAGAGGGGGAAAAATGCAGAACTTAGTTTTGGCACCTGGTTTTACAAAACATATGCTGAGGAGTACTTAGACATTTACTGGAGTAGCATTAATTACACTGATAAATACTGATGCATTCATGAGAAAACAATTTTTTTTTTCAACAATGAAGTATCTTATTTGATTACAAGGTAAACTCTCAACAAATATTACTGGTTTATTATGGTCGTTTATGTCATTATTTATTCTAAACATAGGCATTGGGGAAAAAAATCAGACAAATACCCAGATAATGAGCACTTGGCTTCCTTGGAAAATTGGGGTTGTATCCAGGTTGATTAATAGGCACTCTGGATAATTTTGAACAGAAATGCACAGAGTATCATAGCAAAATATTGAGGCTAAGTAGCTGTACCCTTTTTCACAAAGGGGGAAGATAGAAAGGTGTTATCTTAGTAGTGAAGATGCTTAGCTTCATACCCACAAGTAGGCCCCTGCTCAATAAAGTGCTTGGTAAGTATAAAAATCATACTCCTAGGTCATTCTAATGAAATTGTGATAAAAACTTTCTTTCATGTAATACAGTATAGGAGAGCCTCTTCAAACCTCAAATACAATAGCAATAATTTTGCTTGTTCCCTTGATCACCAAAGTGCTCATTTACTTTGATGAAACAAGACATTAATTGCGTGGTACTTTTGCACATGACTAGTTCTCATGTCTCATGCTATAGGTTTCAACTTAGCTCAGTCACCTGTAGCTGAGGCTGGTATGTGACTTGGTTGCAAATCAAAGCAAAAAAACCCATTCAAAACACAGCTCCTCTGACATCTCTCTTGTTACTGATGCTGCAAAACACATTTGTCTTGATGTGGTGTTACTTTCCTAACCCAGTTACGCTATGGCGCCAGGGTGTCAAGGAAAATAGATGTCTTCAATAACACCCAATAGAGAAAGTGTGTACATGGTGCTCCACAATTCAATGAAGTGGTGAGCAGATGGAAGCATGGGGGTGAAATGATGCCTGGAAAAGCTCTTCTTCTTTTACCTGTCTAGAGGACTGACTGAATGCTGTTGACAGATGTCTTGGTTGTGCAGGGTGCTTGTAGTTCACTCTGCACTGAGATTTGTGTGTTTATAAGCTTGATATCTTCTGTCACCTTCACTTTCTCTGTAAGGACAGGAAACATCCCAAGTTATGGCCTCAGAGAGCCTTGTCTTGGTGAGCACAAGGGATGCACAAGGTCTGAACCCATTCAGTACCCAAGCTGGTCAAGCCCAGCTCACCGTGGAGAGGGCTAGGGCCCAGAGTGCCTCTGCTTTGAATGTCCCACATTTGATGCTGGCCTTGCCCTCTGCTGACCAGTCCCAATATTGCAATTCCTAAACACCATTGTCCTCTTGGAAGTCAAGTGCTGCTCTTTTGAAGGTCACAGAGTAGTGAATTTGTGTTATAATCTGAGATTATACATAGTCTGTGGAACTGTGCAGGCTATACAGAGCTTCTTTTCGGATAGATCACACATGATTGCATCTGGGTGCTCTGAGGTCAGATCATACACATTTTACATTTTGGCATTATCTACTGGACCTCTAGTCGATGTGTAGGTATTTTTCTGGTGGGTGTTTAGACAGCTGTACTCCAGAAACCTGTATTTATGTGTACACATCTTTCAGTGCCATGATTCAGCAGGTACTATCTGAATGGCTGTGTAGTAATCCCTGGGTACAGAAGTTTTGTAGTAAATTTATCCAGAATTCTTTTTTTTTTCAAGTTTGCCTAATGTTCTTATTCAGACTTCCTCTATTGATCTTTCAGCAGGTTGAAGGCTAACAGGAAGATGATGTTTGGTGTACAAAGTTCTTTGCACCAGAGAAAACTTTAGGTGGTGAATCATAACCTGCTATAAGTGCAGTCACATTTTTGATTTTGTACACTGGAAAAAGTTGATCCAGAAATGACTGAAAGAGACTTAGTAGCTCCTTCTAGTTCAGTGCAGAAATCTATCAGAGCAATAAAGACAGTTTATGCAGTCCAGCTCAGTCAAAGATACGTTTGTACCCTGTTTAATAAGGTAGAGGAATGACAATTGCAATGTGGGAGTTGTCTGGAACAGGTAAGTAAGTTTTAAGAATGATTGCTATATGAGCAACCAGTAGACATCCTGGGATCACCGCTCGACTCTAAAATCCCAGCAAATAAGTAAACACAGGCATTGATGAATGCTGACAGGAATGGTGAGTTTGAAATGAAGCATTTATCATTCCTCACTTCATACTTTCCTTCTTGCAAATCAACCCCACTTGATTCAGAGTTCCAACTTTCCTTGACCTCTGCCTTTCCTCTTTGCTGGTTGTTCCCCTCTTTCTTCCCCTGTATTGCTCTGTACATGAAGCCTTACCTATATTTAGCAATGCAACCCCTCCCATGTAACAGTTTCTACAGTTTCTTACTTATTCCACTTTGTATTTTGTGTTCTCCTCAACATTATGATATCTGACTGTCTACAGTTACCTATCCCCTTTACTGCAAAGTTGCAATTGATTATTCCTCACTATGTACAATCACTTCCTTTCATCCTCAGTGAGCTGTACATATTTTTTCCATAGGTATCTTTGCCAAGGTCATTCTGAATGCTGACTCTGTCCTGCAGCATTGTCATCCCTCGCAGCTTGCCGTCACCTCAAGATTTAGTAAGTGAGCTCTTCCCTGTGGGAGCTGAGCAGGGAGTGAGGCTGTCCAAGTCACAAGATCACGAAGGGACCAGAGAGAGGGAACTAAAGCACCAAGAAGGTTTTTCTCTTGTGCTTCGTGCTCTGTCTCTTTGGTTAGCAGCATGCCGTGAGGCCGGGCAGCACTTGCTCCCGCACAGATGAGTGCATTTCCAGGTCCCTTGCTGTGTGCTCTGCTGAGCCTAGCTCCAGCAGGCCAGGCTCTTAAGGTGCTAGGCCAGCCTGAAGTGATTTTTGAGTCAAGTTAGATGGCACGAAGATGTGCACTCCTGAATATTCCTGCCTTTCCAAGAGTCCATGGAGCTGTTCTTAACCACAAGCTCTAAGCTGTGGCAACTGGTTTCAGGAGTTAAGTCCCACAAAATAATTTCCCCTTCTCAGCTGAAACATGTTGCTTCTCGGTGTAAATGAGTGTCCCTTCTTGCTGCTTTTTATGACAAGAGGATGGATAAGGACTCTTCTAAACACACTCAGTACTTTGAATGTCTTGTCAGAAAACTCTAGATTTGTCTCTTCTCTGTCTGACAGTGAGAACTGAGCTTTCACTTCTTTTTTTTGCAGAAATATTTCTGTGCTTCTAATTGTTGTCACCTGTGTCTGCACTCCTGAATTTCTACTGTGAGTTTTGCAGTGGGATATTCAGAAACAGTTTCAGGCCAGAGATGACCTTAGCATTTCTATATTATTAATTTCTCCTGTTTCGCAGGTGACATTTGAATTGCTCCAGGGAGCAAAGATTTGCACTGAGCAGTTAACAAAACAAGAGCTCTTCCGTGCTTCTTACAGAGGAGCCACAGTTACTGAAGAACCTAAGATAGGTTCTCACCTGCAAATTACCACCTATTTATCAACCTTATTTAAGTTTCAAGGCTCAAACAGATTATTGAAACCTGTTGTGGGTGAAGGAAGC